AAGATAAAAGGATACTAAAAAGGCTTGACAACCAAATGCACTGTGGGATCCTTAACTGGATCGTAGATCAAATAAGAAAAAAGTTATAAAGGAAATTGGCGATAATTGATGAAATTTTACCATGTTATTGTATATTAAATATATTAATGTTAAATTCCTTGGATGTAATAATGGTATTGCAGATATTTAGGAGAATGTTCTTGTTAAAGAACTACGTGCTGAAGTGTTCAGGCATAAAGCGTCTTCATGTCTGGAAATTTCAAATGGTTCAGCAAAAAGAGAAAAAAGTACATAGATGGATACCCAGATAAATAAAATGTGGCCAAACGTTAACAACTGGTGAATCTAGGTAATGGATAAGCTATTAATTCATTATACCATAAGTTCACCTTTTCTGGGGATTATTTTTCAAAATAAAAAGTTGGGGGAAAAAGAAAAAAGAAAAAACTAAAAAAAAAATGCACTACTACAGTTGGCAAAAGGCAAGGGCAGCAAGGGAGAAATGACATGCAGTGCAAAATTACAGAAACTTTAATCTTACTTGGTTAATCACCCGCTGTGTTCTTGAAACCCTCACTTTTGTGGTCACAAAAATGGAAACATTCCATACTTTTTGTTTTTCTCCTCTCTCTTCATAAGGTCTGACTCATCTGAATAACTTCTCCTGAATTTACTTATTAGTGAATTTATTTCTTGGTAGTTAACCTTGATGCTTTTCCCACCTGCTATATAATAAACTCCCCTTCTCAATTCGCCCCCATTGATCAATGCTGTCCTTTCAACAAGTGAAATTCACCTTAATAGCTTAAAGGAGGAAGACTATATGATTGTTGCCCTCAGTGCAAGGAAAGCACACAATAAAATTCAGTGCCTCTTAAAAAGTGAGAAAAGAATTTCCTTAATATGAAAAGGAGCATCTGTAGCAAAACCTCCATCAAACCTCATACATTAAAGTACAAGTACGCTTATGAACCTTAGAAGCATTTCCTTTAATAGTGGTAATGAAGTAGACGATTAGGATGCAGGGTACTTCTATCACCACTAATGTTCAGTGTGATATTGGAGGTCCTGACCAACACAATAAGACCAGAAAATGAAAGAGTAACTCTAAGTATTGGAAAGGAAGAGATTTATTTGCAGATTATATGATCATTTGCATAAAAATAATCATAATAAGAATAGCTAATGTGTATTGAGTACTTAATATATTGCAGGAGCTGTTCAGTAAGCATTACATGTATAAATGCCACTTAATCCTACTTTAAAACAACCCTAGGAGATAGGTATAACTATTATCCCCATCTTACAGATAGTGACACTAAGGCACAGAGAAGGTAAGAAATTCGCTCAAGATCAACCAAAGCAGTCTAATTCTAGGCCCTTAAGTTTTAATCACTCTTCTATATTATAACTTTACTGTCATCAACACAACTTGCGACAAAGAGAGGTATGAGAGGTAGTCAAGAGCCAATGCAATAAAATTAGTATGTCTTTAGAGCTAGAGGAGAAGGCGTAACAGTGGTTCTCGATATTGGCTACATACTGGAATCACTTGGAGAGCTTTGAAAAATCCTGATGCCCAGCCTGCACCCAGACCAATTACATCTGAATCTTGGAAGAAGGGTGGAAAGGCCTCGGTAGTTTTTAAAGAACAATTGCATTAAAATGTCTTAAGAGAACTCAAGAATTCAAATTGTGGTGTAAGTTTCCTTTCTTGCAAGCTGGGTGAGGTTGCACACTCTGAGCAGATGAATTACAGAAGGGTGTAATTTGAACCCAGGAGAAGGATAGGGACTAGAAGTCCCACATTGTGGTGGAGACTGTAAAAAGGTCTCAGTGTATCCACATGTGGCTCAGATAGAGTCATCCTGAACCCTGCAAAGCTCAGGTGTCAAATCTCTGACTGATAATGACTTATTGTGCTAATAAATTGTCAACCCAATAGCCTTGACTTGTTTAAGGTGTCAATCTCAGCCTTCCTAAGAAGGTAACTATATCACAGCCAGGAACTGTTAAGCTGGTTACCTCAATGTGGCCTCCCTAGATGGTAACTCTATCATGATTGTGAATTGTTGACCCAGTAATCTGAAATCCCTGGAGATGGTAGAACTTCTTTCTCAGTGCGTAAGTGGCTTTTCAAGTCTGAAAAGGCTTAGAATTAAATATAGAAATGGGGACTTCCCTGGTGGTCCAATGGCTAAGACTCCATGCTCCCAATGCAGGGGGCCCAGGTTTAATCCCTGGTCAGGGAACTAGATCCCACATGCTGCAGCTAAGAGTTCGCATGCCGCAACTAAAGATCCCACATGCCACAAGTAAGACCCAGCACAGCCAAATAAATAAATCAATATAGAAATGATAAATAAATCAAACCTATCACATAAAATACTTTTGTGTTTAAAATAATTGTGTGTATGTGTTTGGTACTTAAAATGTAATTTTGAAATAATACGGCATATTGAAGAATCTAAGAGATTAGCCTAGTTTGGTAGATTAGGCCTATGAAATGTAAGGAAATTTAATTGTTTGTAAATAATAATATTCTTATTTATTTATTTATTTATTTTGCGGTACGCGGGCCTCTCACTGTTGTGGCCTCTCCCGTTGTGGAGCACAGGCTCCGGACGCGCAGGCTCAGCGGCCATGGCTCATGGGCCCAGCCGCTCCACGGCATGTGGGATCGTTCCGGACCGGGGCACGAACCCACATCCCTTGCATTGGCAGGCGGACTCTCAACCACTGCACCACCAGGGAAGCCCAATAACAATATTATTTAAAAAAAAATTTTTTTTTTGGCCATGACATGCAGCTTGTGGGATCTTAGCTCCCCGACCAGGGATTGAACCCAGGCCCTTGGTGATGAGAGCACAGAGTCCTAACCACTGGACCACCAGGGAATTCCCATGTAAATAATATTAGAATACTAGATCTACTAGATCTATATGTTATTTATTTATTTTAAAATTTATTTATTTATTTACTTGTGGCTGCTTTGGGTCTTCGTTCCTGCATGCAGGCTTTCTCTAGTTGCAGCAAGTGGGGGTTACTCTTCGTTGCGATGTGCGGGCTTCTCATTGCCGTGGCTTTTCTTGTTGTGGAACATGGGCTCTAGGCACATGGGCTTCAGTAGCTGCAGCACACGGGCTCAGTAGTTGTGGCTTGTGGGCTCTAGAGCGCAGGCTCAGTAGTTGTGGCACATGGGCTTAGTTGCTCTGTAGCATGTGGGATCTTCCCGGACCAGGGCTTGAACCTGTATTTCCTGCATTGGCAGGAGGATTCTTTTTTTTTTTTGTGGTATGCAGGCCTCTCACTGTTGTGGCCTCTCCCACTGTGGAGCACAGGCTCCGGACGTGCAGGCCCAGCGGCCATGGCCCACGGGCCCAGCTGCTCAGCGGCATGTGGGATCCTCCCGGACCGGGGCACGAACCCGTGTCCCCTGCATCGGCAGGCGGACTCCCAACCACTGCGCCACCAGGGAAGCCCTGGCAGGAGGATTCTTAACCACTGCGCCACCAGAGAAATCCTGATCTATATGTTATTTATATATATGTAACAAATTTTTGTTAAGTACTTGGGAAGAATTTGCTCACCAGAGATGAAACTTGATTGAGCAGGCATATGATGGGTGTAAAATGAAAAGAGAATACATGAAATTTACATTCAGTTTACAATGTTTAATGAAATTACATTTTATAAATTTTAAAATGGTTTTTTTTTTTTTTTTTTTTTTTTGTGATACCCGGGCCTCTCACTGTTGTGGCCTCTCCCGCCTCAGAGCACAGTCTCCAGATGCGCAGGCCCAGCGGCCATGGCTCACAGGCCCAGCCGCTCCACGGCATGCGGGATCCTCCCAGACGGCAGGCACAAACCCGCGTCCCCTGCATCGGCAGGCGGACTCTCAACCACTGCGCCACCAGGGAAGCCCCCCAAAATGGAATTGTTTAACAGAGTTTAATTGTTCTGCCTGAGTTACCCGAACAATAATAAAAGATCTCCTTAAGCCTAATCATTATTTTTATATAAATATAATCAATTTATAAATAGAATAATATATTTGTAAGTTGAACTTTTAAGTTTTAAATAAAGCCAAGGTTTTGAGTTTGTAGATGAAAAAATTTAATATTAATTTAGAACTTAAAATGCTGTAGTCTTTTGTGCTCACAAAACCTGCCCTCAGACATGAAAAAAAAAATCACATCAACACTATTATTATCTGCATTTAACTGATGAAGAAATGGAAGCTCAGAAAGGTTAAGAAAACAGGAATCAACTCCATGCGTGTGTGGCTTTAAAGCCTGTGCTCTTAACCAGTGTGCATGTGGTTTCCCTGATGGATCAACCTCCTGAAAAGTCAAATGACTTTGGAATAATTAAGTAAACTATTTTGAAGTGACTTAAGCAATGTCTGCTCATATGCATTATAGGTTGACTTCACAGCTAAGCGGTCAATTTCAGCTCAAGGAAAGAGACTTTACTGGCTCATGTGACAGAAAATTCTGGCTTCAGGCAGGGTTGCTACAGACTCAAACCCTGCTTCTCTCTGTCCATCAGTCTGTGTTGAGTCCATTCAGACACAGGCTTTCTTGTGGTGCAAGATGACTGGTGCTATCCCTCTGGGCTCAAGGACAGCTGGAAAATGTGGCTGCCTTTCTCCCAGTGTTCCCACAAAGAAATCATTGCATCTCACTGACTCTGATTAGCTCATGGGTCTATTCTGGAACTAATTACTGTGACCGAGAAAATGTGATGTTTTAAATGGCCATGCCTGGCGTCTCAGGTTGACCCCTAGAGTTGGAGGTGGCGTCAAATCCACCACAAACACGTGGGCTGAGAGTAGGGAGGGAGCAGTCCTGGAGAAGGGTGATTGGATGACAGTCAGAAAAAACAGATGTCCATTACAGTGGGCAAACTTCTCTCTTACTTAAGTACCTCACTATATCATTCACATGTACTGCTGACATAGTCTCTTCCTTTTGGCCAGGAATCACGATACAACACTATAACTTAACTGTGTATCCTTTATTCTGCCCATTATTGCATTTTGAGAGCAGGGATATCTGTCTTTCCTTTCATCAGTGACCAAAATAAAAGCTGTTCAGGCATTTATGTAAATGAATGAAACCCAGATTACAGGAGCCTGGGTTTGTTACCTCAGAAGAGAAATAAGGAAGATGGGAAAGTGTTTTTATGGTATTGTGGGTGGTAGCTATGTAGTATAAGGAAGGTAAGTCAAATTCACCAGACACTTATTGATAACTTCTTTGTGTTAGGCTGATTCCTGTTGGGGACAGTGTTCCAGTGGCCTTCAAGGAGCAACCAGCCTAGAGGAAGAGACAGATGGAAGGTGTTGGTTACTGTGATTTGGTTTCGGCCCAGATCCATGTTAGAATGGGCCACCATATAGCCCTTGGTAATGGGTTGAGTCCTGGAGAGGGTTGGGATTATCAAGTGTAATGTTGATTGGGTTTAAGGTTTTTAGTTTCCATTTATTGAGCACCCCCGTCAAGTTACTTATACCCAAGGCCTGGGGCCTGGGCAGTAGGCAGGTCAAAAGGCTCCCAGAGTAGGCCCAGGTCCTGGCTCAGGGTTAAAACCACCACTTCAGAGTGTGAAGAACCTAGCCACAAGATACCCACAAAACCACAGACATATGGGGCAAATTGAGACAAAGCAGAGACCATGCTTCCAGACACCCAAAGGAATGGAGCATTGTCCCAGAGACAGCATGTCTACAGACATGGAAAGGGTACTGCTTAGTTCCAGAGCGGGGGTGTGCAGGGTGCCTGAGCTTGAGACTTTGTGAAATAGAGTTGATCACACTTTTTACTTTGGCTGTTCAGAGGAAGGACATCTTTATCAAACTGCACCCATTCTGAAAACCTGACTGTGGTCATTCAGAAGCCAAGGCTTGCATAGGAAGTGGGGAAAAACAGGAGTAGAGCTAGAGAAGGAGCCATTCAGGCTCTATGAGAGAACAGCTCATTCCTTTTCCCTCCTACCTTCCTGGAGGGAGAGGCTAGTGATAGAAGGCAGCCCACCATGATACTCATTTCCCAGTGTATGTGGGTCTGAGGTAAACATGGAGAACTTCTTAAGGGTGAACAGGGAATAGCCTGCCCTCCTGGTCAAATGGTAACCCTGCTGCTGTTACATATGGGCCCAGGACGGCTGCCCATCACTCATCACTCAAGGCCTGCCAGACAGTTCCCTTGACCCAGATGCCCCAGGTAGGGGATGGAAGAGAACCTGAATAGGGAGCTGGTACCCTGTCAGCACAACAGGAGCAGAGTTAGAAAACACAACCCCAAGGGAAGCCAGAGGAATACTAATCTGGACCCTCTAGAAAAGTTGTCTTCAAACTGGGTATGCATACCCCTGGGGGTTCACAAAAACTTTCCCAGAGGTATGTGGGCATATTTAGCTTACAGGGAATCAATGTAAAGATCCTCAGCTTCCAGGTGTACTCTTTACAAAAATTAATCTGACTAAGAGGAGTGATGACAGCAAGATGGTAAAATAAGAAGCTCAGACTCCCTTCCCCAACAGAGACATTGACGTAACAATAACAGAAAGTCCAAAAAGCCTTTATGAGAATTCCAGAAACCAGTGAAGAAACTCACAGTACCCAGGCAAACTAAAAGCCAAGAACAGCTACACTGAAACAGATAAGAGGAACCATTTCATTTCACTCACAATAGCCCTTCTCCCAAGCTGGCACGGCTTGGAGCACTCAGGAGTAGAATAGAAATCATAGAGTGAGTGCTCTCAGACCACAGTGGAATTAAACTAGAAATCAGCAACAGAAAAATGGCTAGATAATCCCAAAATACATGGAATTTAAAGTATTAAATAAACTTTAAATAACACAAAACTTCTAAACAACACACAGGCCAAAGAAGAGGTATCAAGAGAAATTTTAAAATGTTTTGAACTAAATGAAAAACACAACTTATCAAAATTTGTGGGATGTAGCAAAAGAAGTGCTTTGATGGCACTGAATAACATATATTAGAAAAGAGGGAAACTCTAAACTCAATAATCTAAGCTCTACCTTTGGAAGTTTAGAAAAAGAAGAGAAAACTAAATCAAAAGTAAGCAGAAGAAATAATAAAAATTAGAGCAGAAATCAATGAAGTTGAAAACAGGATATCAATAGAGAAAATGATCAAAACCGAAAGCTGGTTCTTTGAAAAGATGAATAAAGTCGATAAGCCTCTAGCTAGGCTAACTGAGAAAAAAGAGGATACAAATTTCTAATATCAGAAGTGAAAAAGGGGGCATCTGATCCCATGGACATTAAAAGGATAATAAAGGAATATGAGCAACTCTATGCCCACAAATTTAATAATCTAGATGAAATGGGCCAATTCCCTGAAAGATATAAACTATCAAAACTCACATAAGGGGCTTCCCTGGTGGCGCAGTGGTTGAGAGTCTGCCTGCCGATGCAGGGGACGCGGGTTCGTGCCCAGTCTGGGAAGATCCCACATGCCGCGGAGCGGCTGGGCCCGTGAGCCATGGCCGCTGAGCCTGCACATCCGGAGCCTCTGCTCCGCAACGGGAGAGGCCACAGCAGTGAGAGGCCCGTGTACCGCAAAAAAAAAAAAAACAAAAAAAACCTCACATAAGAAGAAACAGGCAATCTGAGTAGGCTTATATTTATTAAAGAAATTGATCAATATTTAATAACTTCCCCAAACAGAAAGCACCAGGCCCAGGTGGCTTCATTGGTGAATTCTACCAAATATTTAAGGAAGAAATTATATCTATTTTCTACAATTCCTCCAGAAGACAGAATCAAGAAGGACTACTTCCTAACTCATTCTATGATATCAGCATTATGCTAATACCAAGACTAGACAAAGACCTTACAAATACAGAAAACTACAGAAAAACATCTCTCATGAACATAGATACAAGAATTCTCAACAAAATATTAGTAAATGGAATCCGACGATGTATTCAATATAAAAAGAATTACAGAGGGAGGATTCTGGGAAGATGGCAGAGTAGGAAGCACCTGGAATCTGTTTCCCCACCAAGACAACAATTGAACTGGCAGAATCTGTCTGATGTAACTATTTTGGAGGTCTGGCTGGAGTCTACTGAAAGCCTGCAACTTACAGGGGAAGGCCTGGATGATAAATAGCAGTTAATTCTGGTCAATTTCAGCTCTTAGCACAGTAGCAGGTACTCATCCTTCGCTCCAGCCTCATAGCAGGCAACACACACATTTCTTGGAGTAACCTACACGGAGCTAGTGGGAGCCATGGTGAATAAAAAGGACACTGTCCTCCAAATATTGGGGATCTGTGCTCTGATTGCTGCTGCTTTCTTTTTTTAAAATAATTTTTATTGGAGTATAGTTGATTTATAATGTTATATTAGTTTCAGGTGAACAGCAAAGTGAATCAGCTATACGTATACCTATATCCACTCTTTTTTAGATTCTTTTCCCATAAAGGTCATTACAGAGCATTGAGTAGAGTTCCCTGTGCTATACAGTAGGTCCTTATTAGTTATCTATTTTATATATAATAATGTGTATAGGGGCTTCCCTGCTGGCGCAGTGGTTAAGAATCCACCTGCCAATGCAGGGGACACAGGTTCGAGCCCTGGTCTAGGAAGATCCCACATGCCGCAGAGCAACTACTAAGCCTGTGCTCTAGAGCCTGTGAGCCACAACTACTGAGCCCACGTGCCACAACTAGTGAAGCCCACGCACCTAGAGCCCGTGCTCTGCAATAAGAGAACCACTGCAATGAGAAGGCTGCGCACCACAAAGAAGAGTAGCCTCCACTTGCCGCAACTAGAGAAAGTCTGTGCACAGCAACGAAGACCCAATGCAGCCAGAAATAAATAATAATAAATAAATAAATATTTTAAAAATCTTTAAAAAATACTGTATATGTCAATCCCAATCTCCCAGTTTATCCCTTCTCTCCTTTTCCCCCTGGTAGCCATACACTTATTTTCTATGTCTGTGACTCTATTTCCATTTTGTAAATAAGTTTATTTGTACCATTTTTTTAGATTCCACATATAAGCAATATCATAAGATACTTGTCTTTCTCTCTCTGACTTACTTCACTCAGTATGACAGCCTCTAGGTCTATCCATGTTGCTGTAAATGGCATTTGATTGCTGCTTCTGATCACAGAGGTGCAAAGAGAAGGGCAGCTATTGTTGTTGTATCTTCCCCCACTGTCACAAGCCACTCCCCCTCTGGTTCAAGTGACTTCCAGGTGATTTAAAGGACCAGCACCCTTTTCCTGCCCTTCATTTTTCTTTTTCTCCTTTTGGAGCCCAGATATTAAAGACTAGGAGATTCAAAAACAACTGCATATTATGGGGAAAATTAGAATGTGACTGTACATACCCAGGGAAAGATGCAGGTCCAGAAAAGACCTGAGGAGACCTTAAGTTTACATCTCAGGCTGATCTGTGGCGCAGAGACAGCCTACAACAATAAAACAAAAAAAACAAACAAATCCATCAAGTCCTGGGGATGGGAGAGAATATGATTTCCAAAGTTACCACATTATTAGATTCAAATATCCAGTTTTCAACAACAATAAAAAATCACAAGGCATACAAAGAAACAAGAAATCATGGCCCATTCAAAAAATAAAAGAATTTAAAAACCAACAAAAACTGTCTCTGAAAAAAGCCTGATGGCGAATCTACTAGAAAAGACTTAAAACACTTGTCTTAAAGATGCTTAAAGAACTAAAGGGAGATGTAGAGAAAGTCAAGAAAGTAATCTATGAGCAAAATGGAAATATCAATAAAGAGATAGAAAACCTAATAAGAAGCCAAAAAGAAATTCTGGAGCCAGAAGTTATAATAACTGAAATGAAAAATTCACTAGAGAGATTCAAAGTCACATTTGAGCAGGCAGAAGAAAGAATCAGTGAACTTGAAGATAAGACAATAGAAATTGTTAAGTCTGAGGAACAGAAAGAAAAAAGATTAAAGAAAAGTGAACAGAGGGCTTCCCTGGTGGCGCAGTGGTTGAGAGTCTGCCTGCTGATGCAGGGGACACGGGTTCGTGCCCCGGTCCGGGAAGATCCCACATGTCGCGGAGCGGCTGGGCCTGTGAGCCATGGCCACTGAGCCTGCACGTCCGGAGCCTATGCTCCGCAACGGGAGAGGCCACAGCAGTGAGAGGGCTGCGTACCGCCAAAAAAAAAAAAAAAAAAGAAAAGTGAACAGAGCTTAAGGGAACTGTGGGACAACATCAAGCAGACTGATTATATGCATTGCAGGAGACCCAGCATGACGAGAGAGAGAAAGGGACAGAGAGAAAATTTGAAGAAAACAATGTTTGAAAACTTCCCAAATTTGATGAAAAATATGAATATAAACATCTAACAAGCTCAATGAACTCCAGGTAAGATGAACTCAGAGACTCATACTGAGATATAAAAGCAGCAGGAAAGAAGCAAATCATCACACAAAAGTGAGCCTCAATAGGATTTTTGGCAGATTTCTCATGAGCAACTTTGGAGGCCAGAAGGCAGTGGGCCAACATATTCAAAGTGTTCAAGGGAAAAAACTGTGAACCAGAATCCTATATCTGGCAAAACTGGCCTTCAAAAGTGAGGGAGAAATTAAGACATTCCCCAATAAACAAAAGCTGAAGAAATCAATCTCTATACTTGATCTGCAAGAAGTGCTCAAGGGAGTCCTGCAATGTGAAATACAAGGACATTAAACAGTAACTTGGAGCCATATAGAGAAATAGAAATCTCAACGGAAGTAAATACATGTGTGCAATTACAAAAGCTAGTATTATTGTAACAATGGTTTGTAACTGCATATTTTGCTTTCAACATGATTTAAGAGACTAATACATTTAAAGAAAAAAATCTAATTAGTCTAAAAGCTAGTAGTCTTGTAACTGGTTTGAAACTCCAAATTTCATTTTTGACATAATTTAAGAGACTAATGAATTTAAAAGAATTATTAGTTTATGTTTTGGGGCACACTGTGTATAAAGATGTAATTCTGTGGCATCAACAACCAAAAGGGGTGGGGATGGAGATGGAAAGGAGCAGAGTTTTTGCATCTTATTGAAGTTAAGTTGTTATAAATTAAAATTAGAATGTTATAAGTTAAGGATGTTCAATGTAGTTCCCATGATAATCACAAAGAAAAGAACTACAGAATATAAACAAAAGAAAATGAGAAAGGAATGCAAATGTTTTGCTACAAATAAATCAACTAAACACAAAAGAAGACACTAACACAGAAAATGAGGAACAAAAAGCTATGGAGCATATAGAAAACAAGTAGCAAAATGACAGAAGTAAGTCCTTCCTTATCAGGAATTACTTTAAATGTAAATGGATTAAGTTCTCTAATCAAAAGACAGAGACTGGCAGAATGGATAGAAAACACATAATCCAACTATATGCTGCCTACAAAAGACTCACTTTATTTTATTTATTTTTTATTTTTTTAAACTTTTTATTTTATATTGGAGTATACATATACATGTATCCATTCTCCCCCAAACTCCCCTCCCATCCAGGCTGCCACATAACATTGAGCAGAGTTCCCTGTACTATACAGTAAGGTCCTTGTTGGTTATCCATTTTAAATATAGCAGTGTGTACATGTTCATCCCAGATTCCCTAACTATCCCTCCCCCCACTTTCCCCTTTGGTAACCATAAGTTTGTTTTCTATGTCTGTGAGTCTGTTTCTATTTTGTAAGTAAGTTCATTTGTATCATTTCTTTTTAGATTCTGCATATAAGGGATGTCATACAATATTTCTCTTTCTCTGTTTGACTTACTTCACTCAGTATGACAATCTCTAGGTCCATCCATGTTGTTGCAAATGGCATTATTTCATTCTTTTTAATGACTGAGTAATATTCCGTTATACATATGTACCACATCTTCTTTATCCATTCCTCTGAAAAGACTCACTTTAGATCCAAAGACACAAATACAGTAGATTAAAAGTGAAAGGATGGAAAAAGATATTCCATGGAAATAGTAAGCAAAAGAGAGCAAAAAGACAAAATAGACTTTATATCAAAAAAGGTTACAGATTACTAGGGGTATTAGCAGAGGTAAGGGTGTAAGAAAAAGCAGGCCAGAGAGTACAGAGTTTTAAATGGCAGGCTAGGTATTCTTTCTGCAGTGTGCAGTCATCAAGGCCATCCAGCAGGGAGGAGCCATAATCCTAGACCTGAGTGTGAAGGATGAAATGAGAAGAGTGTGGAGGAAGTCAACTTGGTTGAGGAGTTATTTCAGTTTACTCAGAGAACAATATACCTTTTTCCATAAATGTCCTGATATAGAATACCCCTAATAGGGCCTGCCTCTGAAAATATGTCTCAAAGAGTTAGACAAGATTTTTGAAAGTATAAAATGAAAGGCTAAAGCTTGGCCCAAGCTCCAGCACCTATTGCCCCAAAATAAAAGAACAAACAAATGTACAGATTTTGACCAAGTTGCTTTTGTTCTAACTGGTTTTTAAGAGAGCAGGCATAGGTTGGCTGTATAATAATACAATAATAATAAAACACAACATTGTAAATCAACTATACTTCAATTAAAAAAAGAATTAAAGGGCTTCCCTGGTGGCGCAGTGGTTGAGAGTCTGCCTGCTGATGCAGGGGACATGGGTTCGTGCCCCGGTCTGGGAGGATCCCACATGCCGCGGAGCGGCTGGGCCCGTGAGCCATGGCCGCTGAGCCTGTGCGTCTGGAGCCTGTGCTCCGCAACGGGAGAGGCCACAACAGTGAGAGGCCCGCGTACCGCAAAAAAAAAAAGAATTAAAAACAAATAAACAAACAAAATGATTATAGTAACCATTGAATGAGCACTTGCTATGAGCCAGGTACTGTAAGTCTTTCCTCATTCAATACTCACAAACCTGTGATGTAGATTCACTTATTATCATCGTTTCATAGATAAAGAAACTGAGTCTAAGAGAGGTCAGAGTCAATATGCAGCATTACTTAGATTAAAATGCTGTGCTTTCTATTTCAAAATCATGTCTTTACCCATTGCACTTCATGTGCTTAAGCAGCTGTGCTTGGCAGACAGCGTATAGCATTGCCCCTGGGGATGATGATGTGACAAGAAAAGAACTGCTTGACTTCTTTGTGTCTTGATTTGTTCAGCAGTAAGTGGAAATAATAACTGCCTTTTCATCAGGCAGAGTAACGGGAGATAAGACTGTTTTTCCCTCTTGGTTTGATTGCAAAAGAGGCCATGTCCACCCATAGGTGTGAATGGAAATAAGAGGCCACTTACAGAGTGTGGTTTGTGTTGGTGGCCCAAGTGCAGTTGCCTCATCTATACAATGGGCATAATAATAATAGTGTCCACCTCCTAGGATGTTTGTAAGGATCCGATGTATTCATACATGTCACAGATTTAGGACAGTGCTTGACAAATAGCACTCGCTATCTAAATACTAGCCATTACTGGTATTAAAGATAGAAACTTGGCTACCAGGGATCACTGTGGCCATAAATATATGTAACCTCCAAGCAGAGATAGGGAGAAGCCTCACTCACCCTGGCTTTTTCTCAGCAGGCATTTAGTTAGGAAGATTAGCTAGCTATAATCTTGGCCAATAGTAAGCAGAGCGCAAAGAAAATGACAGGGATGGAGAAATAACGTTATCAGAAAATAAAAATAGCTCCTAATTTTTACCATTTCTACAATCAAGCACCACATTAAGAGTATACCAACTTGGTCTTGCCTAATCCTCACAGTTCTGTGGGGTAGGTGTTATTAACTGTGTCCTCTGTCAGCCTCCACTCCGACCTCTGTAAAAAGACAATATAAGGTGATGGGAGAGGTGGGGGGAGGGTGGTCCTGCTGGGCTCCTGGCCGAGCAGCTTCTCTTGGCTCTCTCCGAGGCAGGAAGCGCCTCTTCCACAGGACATCAGTGTAAGCCTGAATAACAAAAGGAATTTCTCCCTCCTAAGCCATGGCACATCAGTTGCACAGAAATACCACTTTGGGAAACAGTCTTCAGGAGAGCCTCGATGAGCTCATACAATCTCAACAGATTACCCCCCAACTTGCCCTTCAAGTTTTACTTCAGTTTGATAAGGCTATATATTCAGTGTTGGTACAGAAGGTCAGGAACAGAGTCAATTCCAGGCCTGTGTATGTTTGGCTACCTTCCCTAAAGAGTTACTGAGATTTCAAACGTCTGAAACATTATCTGCAGGATTGAAGGGCTCTCTAAATACCTACAGATTCTGCGATAATGTATGGACTTTTGTATTGAATGATGTTGAATTCAGAGAGGTGACAGAACTTGATAAAGTGAAAATTGTAGCCTGTGAGTGGGACCTCTCTGGTGGACAAGTGGCTAAGACTCTGTGCTCCCAATGCAGGGGGTCCGGGTTCGATCCCTGGTCAGGGAACTAGATCCCACATGTCGCAACTAAGAGTTGCATGCCGCAACTAAAGTTTCCTCACGCGGCAACCAAAATAGATCCCGCAGGCTGCAACTAAGGATCCTGCATGCCACAACAAAGATCCTGCACGCAGCAATGAAGATCCCATGTGCTGCAACTAAGACCCGGCGCAGCCAAATAAATAAATAAATAATTTTAAAAAGTGTAGCCTGCGATGGTAAAAATTCTGGCTCCAATACTACAGAATGAATAGAAAAAAATCCTGTTTTTGTTATTGTTATTGTTATTGTTATAACAATAACATCCTGTTATTGTTCATCTCTTTTCGAAGAGAAGCATAGGAGACTTTTTAAAAAATTTATTCTAGCATTGCAGAAATGACTACACTGTGCCGTACTATCAGAGAATTCCAGTAGAAAGAAGCTTATAACTCTGTACCCTCTTACATTACATTTATTATACATCATGAAGAAACAGAACTTTCTTTTTAATGACACATCAAACACTGTTGCCTTCCTAAGACTATTCTTTAATAAATTCATTTTAAAACAAACAAACAAAAAGTGATGGGTATTCTTGCCTGGGCAATATGACCCCAGAGCCCACACTTCTAACCTCTACCCTCAGCTTCTTTGAGGGTTTACCACTGGGAACCAGACGTCAAGGTGGGGGGTCAACAGGCTGGGGTGGAGGTGGGGGAACTAAGACACGCCATAATTACACCACAGTCTGCAGTAGGGTTTAAGGAAATAAATTATAGGCCCCCAGTACTTTGAGTTTCCTCGTTTAAAATCAGATTTTAAACCCTAGGCCACAAGTATCAATGGTACTTTCTGAGAAACTCTGATTGAAGCCTGTTGACACAAGTGCTTTTGAAAGTTCAAAACACCAATAGATCTTGTACCCTCTGCTTAGAAAGAAAGGAGGGAGGACAGAGAATATCTACTTCCCAGGTTTTATAAAGTTTAGGTTAAATTTATACTTATTCTTGTTTTTTTGGGTTTTTTTTTTTTTTGCTTTTTTTTTTTTTTTTTTTTTTTTTTTTTTTTTTTTTTTTTTTTTTTTGCTTTTTAATTGCTTTATTAACTTCACATTTTCCATGCAAATGGGTGAACCTCTCAATCTGAGTTTGTTGACAGAAACTCAGATTGGGTGCCAAGGCAATCTCCAATTAGAAGCTGGTAACACAGAACCCACCTGACATGGAAATTACGTAAGGTTCACAGCAAATGGATCAGAAAAGGTGTATCAGGAAAATGCAAGAAAAAAAAAGAGAACAACAGTGGGAATCACAGTACTAATCTCATGGAAAATGGCAGGAGTCAATGCATAAGGCAGAATTCATCATGATGGTCATGGTGATTAGAGAGCTCCCCCATAAAGATATGTAGACAATTCCTCAACTGCAACTCCCTAAGTTTTCTCCTGATTTCGCTCATCTCTTCATGAACATTTCCATGTAATCTCCATCTCCACCCATCCCATCTTTGACCTGCCTATTGGGTATGGCTCATCAGAAATTAGGGGCAAGTTGGCGAGCCTGTCCCCGTCTATTATTTCCTGCCGGCTGGTGGCCTTCGCCCCCTCCCAAAAGGCGGTTTTCCTTTCCTTTTTGCACAGGCTGCTCCATTTCTTCGTTTCCCTGGGCCTTCCTTGCTGTCTCCTGCTCCTCCCGATTCCCGCCACAAGTGCGCCACCGTGAAACTTAGTACTTATTCTTTATACTTATTTCTATCTTGCAGAGCAGTAGAAATTTCCAAGACTCGTTACTGGGAAAGGCAGTGAAATTTCTGTAAGAGTCAGAGGTTTGTTTTCATAATTATCTTCCATGGGTTGTTTTCCCCTTACAATATATTTTCATTACAGAAAACTATATGTGTTGCAATATAGGTCCCCTCCAAGTTGTAAAGTCTGTCACAGGAGGGTGGATTTGCTCACTAACTCTATGATAACTAACCTGCTAAGCATAACTGCATATTATAATGAACACAAACAAAATACCAAAACTGGGAAGTTTCTTCTTACATTAAAAAAAAACCCAAAACAAAACCCAAAGTCCTCATGTGATATATGAGGCCCTATACGATCTAGCATCCTGCCACCTCTCTGCCCTCATCTCCCTGTCGCCCTGGTCCAGCCATCCTGGCCTCCTTGCTTGTCCTTCAACACACCAGACATGGTCCTGCCTTTGTACCTTTGGACTTGCTGTTCTCTTGGCTTAGAAAAGCCTTTCCCCCAGATTATGCATATGATTTGCTCCCTTACTTCATTCACATTTGTTCAGATATCACACCCTCAGGGAGACCTTCAAATTATCTCGTCTAAAATCAAGCCACCCACTTCACCCTCACATCCATCATCTTCTATTCTTTGGTTTGCCTCTTCTTCCCCATAACACAAATCATCATCTGATACTTTATTATACGTTTGTTGATTGTTGATTGCTGGGTTTTCCCCACCAGAATGTAAGCTCCATGAAGGCAAATCTTTGTTTTGTTTGCTGCTGTATCCCCAGCCCTAGAACAATGCCTGGCACCCAGCAGGTGCTCAATAAATGAATGAAGTGAAACTAATGAAAAGATATGGGTTCCATGACAGGAAAGAGCTTGCACTGGGAACCCTGCACCAGGTGGTTTAGGAGATGCCGACCATCAGAGCCAGAGATGACCTTGAGAAGGGAAGAGATCCCTGGGAATTCACAGAAACCTGGGGGGTGAGTACCAGACTTTATGAAGGGGGTGAAAGGGGGAATATGGAGTAACTCTAACTGACACATGCATCACACACACATTATCTTATTTCATCTTAATATCACAACAGATGAGGAAACTGAAGATCAGAAAGGTGAAGTGACTTACCCATGGTTATTCAGCTAAGTAGCAGAGCCTCGATCTGAAGTCAACTCTGTCTGACTCTAGAAACCATGTTCTTTTCAAGACACCACACAGCTGAGGAGAAAGTTTGGCAAAGAGTGTGTGTTCAGTTAAGTAACAGTTGAAGGAATGAACAAATGCTTCATAGAGAAAGTGTTAATTTGGTCTTTTTTGAGATCAAACAGCCTTATGGAGAGACCAAAGGCAGACCTGGAGAAAGAAGGAGATTGAACAAAAAGTTTTAAGATTAGATAGTTAGGTGAGGAGCTGTCCAGGGAACACTGAGTACATCAGCTTAGCTGGATCTTAGAGTGTTAATGGAGCATTTTGGGAGATAAGGTCTCCAAGGACCCAAATGTGAAAGATCTTGACTGCTTGGTTATGGAATTTGGACTTTACCATGAGACGGTGGGGAGCATTAAGCTGTAGAGTAATGTGCTCAGACACTGCTTTAGGAAGTCATTCTGGGGTGCTGGGGATGAAATTACCAAATGGATTTATTGTAATAGTCCCAGTGAAGAGTTATCGGCAAAGCAGTCAGTTCTCTCTGAACCCATGAAAGGTTGAGGTTAAAACCAGCCCTGACCTAAACATTCACACAACAGCCACTAGTTGGCAGCAATGTCCCAAGAAACAGGTGAGCCAGCCTCCAAGTAGGAGCTTCCTCAGCCAGCTCCTTGGGCTGTGATGGGGTATGGTCACCTGGTGGAACACAAGAGTAGTTGGGAGAACAGCCTGTGTGGAGGGAACCCCAAAGACCCAGAGGGGAAGGAGTATGTGGAGGTCAGAGGACAGGGTGATCAATGCCTGGAGGATGGTTGCAGTGGGATGGGGGGCAGGGGTGAGAGGGGAGGCTGCATCTGAGAGGTAGAAACTGATTGCAAATGGCCTTGAATTTCCAGGCTAAGAAAGCTGGACATTATCCTGAGGGAAATGGGGACCCAGGAAACCCATGTTTAAGTAGAAGAGAAACATGACTAGACTTGCCTTTTAGAAAGATCACCAAGATTGCAGTGTGGAGAATGAGGGGAAAGAGACAGGAAGCAGAGAGAACAGTGAGGAGGTGCTGCAGTGATCCCCAGAGAGATGATGAGTGGTCTGAACTAGGGTCAGCAATTGAAGTGGACAGAAGGGGTCAGATTTGTAGGTGACTTAAGAAATAAAAATCATAGAATGAGAAAGAGGGCATTAAAATGTAGTTTTCAAAAAAAAAATGTAGTTTTCACAGAAGAGAATGAATATTCTCTCCCCATTATTAAGAACACTTTCTGAATTGTTGGATTTTCTCCCTAAAACTGCAGTGGAAGAGCTCAGATCATGGAACTTCTTTAGGTCTAAATTCACTCAGTCTGTGGTGGGAACCGGCGACAAAGGAATGACTTAGCAGTTGCCTCCCCACTGGTGGAATAACAGTCAACTGTACAGTGTGGTGAGGGCTTTGATGGAGGAAATACAGGACAGTGTGGGGTCCAGCGGGGGAACCTGATGTAGGTTTCCAGAGAGGAGACTTGTGAGCCCAAAATATGCAAAGGATCTCACAAAACTCAGTGAGCTAAGCACTGGAAAAGAAGGGAGTCTGGGAGCAGCCCCGTTACCTGTTTACCCCTTTTCGTCACAAACCGTAGGCGTCACCTTATGCGCGATAAGGTGTCCCAGGTGAGCTACATTCTCCAGGATGAAAGCGCTAACCCAGCCACGGTCGCCAGCTCCTGGAGCAAACTCACTTCCCAGAAGACAGACATGCTTAGCGTCCCTCAGAGGCTCCTGGACCACCGCCCAGGGCAGACAGGCTGTGATTGGTGGGAGCCTGGGGCCCGCCCCTCACCAGCCCCAAACTGCGGTTCTGATTGGTGGAGAAACAGCGTAGCCCCGCCTCTCCCGCCAGTCGGCAAAGGAGGCTACCCAGGTGGGTGCGCGACCGCTGAGGGGGCCCTAGAGCACCGCTGTTACGGTCTGGGAGAGATGGAAGATCTCCCCGGCCCCAAATCTTCTACACCGCGATGGACTGCAGTCCCTAGAGAAAAGGCGTCAAGGGACCGGAAGCTGTGCTTCCCGGAGCATTGTGGGCCCAGGCGGGGGTGGGCCGGGTCTTCCGGCGCCTGCGTGCACCTAGCAGTTTGGGAAATGGTGGCCCCCGGCACGTTGGTGTAAGCCGTGTGAGGGGCGGGAACCCGGGAGTGGGTTCTCGGGCATTTTCAGACCAGGGAGCCCTGGGCTGGGGTGGGGCCGGGATGCTACCGGGCGCCGCCCCGCTTTGGGGCCTCCTCGGGCGCCACTGCTTTGCATCCTTAAGCTCAGGCCTCTAGCGTGCCCCTTCCGCCCCAACCCCACCCCTAGTCCGTTTCCTTCCATCCGGTGGGAACAGCAGCAGGGGTGCCACCATAGGATTTTAAGAGCGCTGAGTGCGCACCTGGCATCCTGGGCCCCTGACTCCTCTTTGCATTACCCCTCCCGGGGCCCCTGCGAAGCAAGAGCTAACTCCTTTCAACAGAAGCCTGCTGGGGCCATGTGATAAGGCCTCCTCCATCGCACCTGGTCCCAGCCCTTCATCGGTTAACCACCCTGCCCCCAGGCTCAGGCAAGGCACAACCCTTCTCCGAGCCTCACTCCTGATTTGTGAGATGGGGATGGCTAACTCCTCAGATTCTCTGTACCGAATGATAATACACACAGGCACTGCCAATTACGATGTACCCGTTTTCCCTTCTCACCCTCTCCGTACAACCCCGCTTCATGGCAAGCAGATTTTATAGTTTAACCTGTGTGCAGTTATGAAGGCTTCGACAGGCATATCCACCCCACCCCCCGATTTTGTCAGCCGAGCCTCTAGGGACAAATATCCTTGGTGCTTTTATTTCAACTGTTTTCTGAGTGCCTGCTCTGTGCCAAGCACTGTATTTAGTACTGAAGACCCAGATGAACCAAATTGACTTCTTTCCATGAAATTGAGACTAGTGGGGGAAATAGGAACTTGTGATAAAGGTGGTGATAAAAGACGTGATAAAAGATACAGTGCCACAAGAAAGGAACAAATGAAGTGCTCTTGAAATTCAGGGATTGGGAGAAGGCGGTTAGAAGTCTTTAGAGGGTGTGCAGTAGCCTATAAGCTGGATCAGAGGGGGCATTCTGAATTAAATAGATGGGAGAAGGCAGCTTGACAGCTCACTCTGCCCATGCAGTGAACATGGTTCATTTTGCTTTGGAGGGGCTGGGGGTTTGGGGTGAGGAGTGGGGTATAGGGTGGGGGGTGTGCAGTATAATTTTTTTTTTTTTTGGCCACGCGGCTTGCGGGATCTTAGTTCCCTGACCAGGGACTGAACCTGGGCCACCACAGTGAAAGCGCCGAATCCTAACCACTGGACCACTAGGCAATTCCTGCAGTATAATTGTTAAAAGCAGGGGTTTTAGCGTATTTGCTGTGAGACTTCAGGCACGTTAACCTCTTTGAGCCTGTCAACTGTACAGAGATAGTACCTACCTCACATTCAAGATAACGCGTATTATCTTCATGCCTGAGCATCAAGGTCAGCACATAGCTGTCATTTTTTTGAATACCAGCTATCCTACGTGAAGGAAAATGGGAATGCCTCGAATGCCAAGATTTTTAGATTTTTCTCTAGGTAATAGAGATCAAACAGATTTTTAAGCAGTAGAGCGTGTTGATCAAAGGTGCTTGGAAGTGACTGAATCTTGGAGTCAAAAAGTCTGAAGCCGCTCTAATAGTTGCTTCTTTCCCATTCCCATCCAAATCTGTCTACCCTCAACCCATATGCATTTCAGAACGATGTTTCTAAAAACCAGCCATTTATATCTGCTTAGGTAAGTTACAGAGTAAGGTGGTGTATTTACAAGTTGGTTTGTCCAGATATACTATAACTTAGTGTCTGTATTTAATATTGACAACCAAAAAATATATATAAATATCTTCCAACTATACACAGCAGGGCAGGAGTGTTCACGTCTTCTTGAATAGTGAGTTCTCAGTTTCCCATGGCCCTCCTCTCTTGGTGACCGTCTGGCCCTCAGTGCAAAGGAGACTAGCACCTGGCAGCCCAGTCTGGCCCTTCCCCTCTCCTCCCTGTACTCCAGTGCTCCCAACTGGTCTCAGGCAAGGGAAGATTAATTTGAGTGGTTGGGTAGGAAGAGACAGGAATGGGCGAATCCTAATGGAGCCTGATCCTGGAGCCTGATCCCTAGGTGGGGAGACCCAGGCCCACAGAAGGAGTGGCCAGAGCCACCTCTTAGGGTAGAAGACTCATGGTTCGTAGTTCGATTAGTGTGTCCTTGGGTCATAGGTCCGGCCCTACAGATTAGCTTGGCAAAGAAGGCAAGTGTCTAGGCAGGGCTTGGTCCCCACCCTCAGGCACTGAGCCATTCAGGGTGAAGCCAGGGATGTGGATAAAGGAGACTCTGGCTGATAAAAAAATAATAACAAAATCAGTAATAAAAAAATTATAAAACCTGTTGCTTGTCTGAATAGATCTGAGCAACAGTCTTGTTAAAATCCTGGAGCCATTAAAAGTCCTGAATATTCTTCTGGACATCACTACTGGCTGAAGGAAAGAGCCCCAGGCCCAGCTCTGCTGAGATCTTGTCAGTTTGAAAGTCTCATCCAGCTGCCTGTGCTCTGAGAGATCCTTGGGCTGCTGGGAGCAGACCGGGCTGGTGGTGTGGGGCACCTCACACTTGTGAATCAGCTCCCAGGGGGTGGAACAGCTCCTCGGGTGTCTTGTCACTTTGGCTCGCTCCCCCCTGCCGGAAGCCGGAAGCAATCTCATCGAAGGTCCTGCCTTTCGTCTCGGGAACTTTGAAGTAGGTGAAGATGAAGAACAGAACCAGGAGCACGGTGAAGATGATGAAGACATAGGGACCACACAGTTGCTGAAAGATACACAGAAACACTCGGTTGGAGACCTGACCCTACATCGGGCCGTAGGACCTTGGCTAAGTCACTTTACCTCTGGGCCTTTGATCTGAAAAAGGGAACACCCACCGACAACCCAGGAGCATTGGGATGTTAGTATTAGACTCTGCGGCAGCTGGCATGTGATAGGAGCAGTTTCCCACAGCAGAGCAGAACAGAAAATTCGAAGATAAGGAAAGAACCCTGTGTGACTTGGGCTTCTGAGCCCCAGCATGATTCCCGTAAGAACGGTAGGGACAGCATTTTGCACAGTACTATGGGGTCCTGCATGCAGGAGAGAAATGCTGAGTGTGGGCACTCTGGGAGTTCTCACCTCCACATACTGGAAGCACATGCCCACAATGAAATTTGAGGTCCAGTTGGAGAAGCCAGCGACAGCAATGGCAGCTGGACGAGGGCCCTGGCTGAAGAGTTCAGCCACAATGAACCATGGGATGGGGCCGGGGCCCACTTCGAAGAAGGCCACGAAGCCAAAGATGGCCACGATGCTCAGGTAGGACATCCAGGGCAGCCGCTCCTGTTGAGGACGAGAGACGGGAGGAAAGTTAGATTGGGCTGTGCTGGATCCTCAGAAGAAACAAACTGCAAAGGCAGCCCAGGGCAGGCCTAAGAGCTCTAGGCTGGAAAGCAGGAGGCCAGGGTTGATCCTGGATTTGCCGTGTGACTTAGGTACCCTGTGCCGGGTCTCGGATTCCTCATCTGAACAAAACAGTTTAAGTCCTGTGTGGTCTGTCCTCCCAGAATGGTCATGTAGTTGCGTGTGGAAGGCGCTAAGAAGAGGTCCCTGGGGTCCCCTGGCTCTGGCTGTGGAGCAGTCTGCTTACAGTAGGAGGATGTGGAAGAACATTCCTGGGGGTGGGTGTCAGAAGGCTTATAAGGTGCCCTACTCGGGACTGGCACAGAGCAGGCATGTGGTTTTACGTATAATCATTCTCGAGGAAGCTGCAGTAGAAAAGTTCTATGGGCTTCGTTCCAGATCCCAGATCAGCTGCTCATTGCCTACGGTATTGCCAGGCCTCTCGGCCATCACCGCACTCTAAGCCTTGGTTCGGCTGTAAAATGAGTGTACTGGTGCTTTCCTTGCCCAGGTGTTGGACAATCAAGCGTTGCGTGTGAAGTGCCTGGGACAGGATCATCACAGAGATTACAGTCACGGGCTTGGGGCCAGCAGACCTGAGGTTGACTCCTGGCTTCGTCCTTTATCTGCTACGTTACTAACCTCACTGGAGGAGGCTTCCTCACCTGAGAAATGGGAATATTGACTGAACTACACCTGTGCGTCGTGAGGACTGAGTGAGATGAGGCATGTTTCCACGCCTCTGTGGTGAGGAGGGCATTACTTTCTAGGGCTGTTCTGAAGATGAATTGAAGATGCAGAGAAGACTTTGAAAAATTTAGTATCAGGCAGAGTAGCTCCTGGGGAGACAGAACTTGAAGTCTGGGGCTGGAGGTGCGGTGGTGAGAAAGCACCAAGCAGCGAGGAGCCATTTGAAGACAGGATGGGAGCGGGATGGAAGGAGCCAGCCTTAAGAGGCAGAAGGTCAGGCCCACGCCCGGGATTGTGAGGGGTGCAGAACCAGGGCGAGGGCAGCCCCCCCTGCCAACACCTGGCCTCCAGTGCTGCTCGCCAGCCTGGGGCTGAGACAGGCACTTTGGGGTCTGATGCCCACGTGAGCTCCCCCCACCTGCCGCCTGGCCCCCCGAGCAAGGCAACTCACCAGCAGCGCCAGCGCGATGGTCATGAGCACCGCACAGCCTGCCATACCGGCCAGGCCTATGAGGTGCAGCGTCCGCCGGCCAGCTCGTTCCACCACAAACAGCTGTGGGCAGAGAGGATGTCAGTGCAGCCTGCCTGGTGCCCCTCTGAACATACCCCTTCCTCCGGGAAGGTGGCCCCCAGTGCTGGGAAAGCCACGTGGCACTGCAGAGATGGATGCCTCCTCCCTGGGGCTCAGCTCGGGGACTACACAGGATCTGAGGGAATGCGAGCTGGCCCCCAAGAGCCAGACAGCTGAGCATTCTGGCTGTGGCCTTGGGCCAGCCATTGCACTTCTCTGAGCGTCAGTGTCATCAGCTGTTTGATAGAGTAATGAACTTGACGAGTTGTCCAAGATGAAATGAGAGAGCACTTAGGGAGCCCGTGATGCGTGCCTGGCTCACAGTAAAGGCTGCTGTTTGGTCATGAGGCCCTGAGGCCCCAAACTGGACCCCAGCTGCCGACTGGCTGTGGGCAACGATGCAAAAGACTCACCGACACGACAGTGAAGGCTGTGTTGACGATGCCGGAGCCGATGGTGGCATACACAGGCTGCTGCACCCCCGCCTTCTCGAAGATGCTTGTGGAGTAATAGAAAACCTACGGGACACAGAATTCGCGGAGCTCAGCCAGGTGCGGTGGCTCTTCCCCGGCCTCTGTCCCAGTGGGGTCAGGACACACGGTCAGTAAAGAATGAAGGGGACAGTGCACCAGTGCCCTCATGGGTTCTGGTTCTAAAGGACAGCTGCTCCTCTGGCAGGGGCTCGTCTTGTTTTAAGTGTGGGACCTGTCCACAGCACACACTTGACCGCAGGGTTTGGCTGGGGCCACAGGAAAGGGTGGGTGAGGGCACTCACAGCATTGATGCCAGACAGCTGCTGGGACAGCTGCAGCACCACGGCAATGAGGATGGGCTGACGGTAGGCGGTCGAGCGGAACAGCTCCAGGATGGTGACCTTCTTCTCCCGCATCATCTGCCGGCTCTCCTCCTTCATCTCCTGCAGGTCGCGGGTCACATCCGAGGTCCCGCGCAGCTTCTTCAGCACTGGGGGGGCCGGAGGGAAGGCGGGGGTGGCTCAGAGCAGGGAGGAGGCCAGGGCCGGGGGCGGGGAGGGGCAGGGCCCGCCGTACCGCTCTTGGCCCGGTTCTCCTCGTTGCGGTTGATGAGCAGGAAGCGGGGGCTCTCAGGGCAGAAGGGCAGCAGAATGCACTGCAGCAGGGCTGGGATGAAGATGACGCTCAGCAGCAGGGGCCACAGGTCCTGGTTGCCCATGATGGAGTCCAGGCCAAACACCTGGGGGCGGCAGGGCCAGAGCAGCAGCTGTGAGCACCTTGCCCCGGGCCCACTCGCGGCCCCAATCCACCCAGGGGCCTTCTTCGCCTGCTTTGTGGCAGCTGCTGCTTTAGAGAGAGGGCTCTAGTTCTCAGTCTAGTTCTGCCACTAACGTGAGGCTTAACTTCTCTGAACCTCGGTTTCCTCATCTGTGACAAGGGGGAAGTAGGACCTACATCACGGCATTAGTGGGGATAAGATGGCAGGGCTACAGACATGTCTGGCAGGGGGATGGGGGCTGCTACTTTGCCACAGGACGATTTAGGGATGGGGCAGGGAGAGCCTCGAGAGAGGGGAGTGCATATATATATATATATATATATATATATATATATATATATATACACACACACACACAGGCATCAAGGCGTGGAGGTGTGAGAGGGTCGGCATGTTGAGGAACCAGTGGGCTGCCCTGTGGTTGGATCCCCACAGTGAGAAGAAAGGACGCGAGGCTGAGTGGGCTGGGATGAGAAGGGTCCAGGCATCTGGACTTGCTCTCCCACCGGGGGGGCCCCGGGAGAATGGTGAGCGGTGGTGTTCTCGGGACCTGCGCCTAGGATGTGTCTACGAGGCTGCCCTTTGCAGGGCTGTGGAAGGCCAGGTGAGGAGGTGAATCAGGACACACACCTGAGGCACTGGAGCCATAGGTGGGGGCTTACCTGGGCGATGAGGATGCCGACGACGATGCCCAGCTGGTGCAGGGTACCCAGGGCCCCGCGAAGGTCCGTGGGGGACACCTCCCCCACGTACATGGGCACGAAGCCAGTGGTCAGGCCGCAGTATACACCAATGACGAAGCGGCCGAGGATCAGCATCTCAAAGGACTTGGCCAGTTTTGAGAAGCCCATGAGCACAGCGGACACAAAGGTCAGCAGGTTCATCATCAGCATTGAATTCCGCCTGGGGGGCAGGACGGGGAGGAGGTCACAGGTCAGGCAGGTCCCTGGACCCCCCGGAGGCCCCAGGGGCTGGGTCACAGGTAGACCCTAGGACAGCCAGGGAAGGCCCCCCACCTCCCACTCCCTGGGCAGGGCCAGGACCCCTTCTGCTCACCGGCCAAAACGGTTAACGAAAAGGCCCACAGAGAAGGAGCCAATCATGCCCCCCACGGAGAAGATGGCCACAGAGAGGGACCAGAGCGTGGTCAGTGTGGCGGGCAAGATGCGCTCCCCATAGCGGTGGATCCATGTCTGGTTGTAGAACTCCTCAATCACCTGCAGGAGCAGAAGCAGCCTGGTGGGCGAGGCCAGGACCCAGTCATCCTTCTCCCTTGCACTCCCCCACCTCCAAGAGGACCATTTTATCACAGGATGCTAGAGGGGGCCCAGGGGCCCAGCACCAGGCCCAGCCCCAAACTCGCTGCTTTCTTACGCCGGGTGCCACCCCTTTTGTGGGCCTCAGCCACCCACACCACCGAGGGAGAGTGGCGCCGGCTCTCACACCTCCCCCAGGGGTGGTTTCCAGCGCCCCATAGTTTCAGGCGCTCAACAGGACTTTCTGGGGATGATGGCAAGTGAACAGTGGTGGAAGTTCAGGCATAGCAGAGAGAGGCTCAGAGAGAGAGTGCTTCTTCCCGCATGCCCCTCCCCAATCCCCCTTGCTGGGGAGGAAATACAGCTGGACAGAGGCCCTTCGAGGAAGGGAAGGGCAGGCTGACTTTGCACTCAGGCCTGGTGTGAGCAACTTGCACACAAATGCTTGTGAGACCCACCCCCGGCTGGCCTGGGAGTTCCCCTCTGAAGGACCCATGGCCTCGTCCCCTCTCTCAGGTGCCCAGTTGGGCGGTACAGGGAAAGCTACAGACAAGGAAGCAGTTCCAGGAACTGGAGACACCTGTCCTAGAACAGGCCTCCCGCTAGCCCTGCCCCCACCAAAGGGAGGGCCTGGCTGGCCCAGGCCCAGGAATGTGGCAGGCGGGCAGCACTGGTTCTGCTTGCTCACACTCTCCCCTCCTCTCAGGTGACGCAGATACATGCCCAGTGCCTCGGGACAAGCCAGACCCACCCAGCAACACGCGCAGCCACAGGCCCACCGTACCCAGAAACAGCCTCCTGTGTACACACGCCATCACACACACGAACTCGCGCTCACATAATCTGAACATTCCCGACTTCAGCCAGTCACAAACCTGCATGCCCCTCTTCCCCTCCCCACTTGCAGCTCAAACTCAACTCCGCGCGAGCCCAACCCATCTGGCACCCCTCCCCACTGCAAGTTTGTGTGCACCGGCCAATATGCAGCCTCTCATACAGTACGATCTCCACTGGCACTGCTCTTGGCCCTCCGTAACCCTCCCAAGCTCCAGGGGTCTAGCAGAAGAGGAGGCTGTGGGTAGCCGCAACCGCCAAATGGGGAACCAAGGCCCACAGTCCCAGGAGTGCCCACTGAGTTATCTACTTGTCTGTCCCAGGGAAGCTGGACAGCTCAGGGGTGAGGAACCCAGACGCAGCCAAGTTCAGACCCAGCCCTACCACTCATCTCCAGTGTGACCGAAGGCAAACGATTTTATCTCAAATGACATTAGCAATATCCACTTCCATAGTGTTGCGGGAAGTTAATGAAACACCCTTGGCAGTGCTCACACGGTGCTTGGTACCACCACTGAGCTGAGGGACCCCACCACGTTCCGGTACTGACCCAGGGGCAGTGCAGGCCACTGACAAAGGCTAACAGAGCCTGCGTCCCATAATTCAAAGTCAAGGCTCCTGCCAGGTATCAGTCCCACCTCCCAGCATCTCTACTTTTGCCCTATGCACCCTTTCCCCCAGTTCCACGATTACTCCTCCTGGAGGGCCCACCTGCCTTACCACGCTGAAACCTTTTGAGACCCAGCTCAGAGGGTCCCAAGAGTCTGTCCTCCCTGAGGGCAGGGACCCCAGTGGATTCACCCCAGGGCCTGTCCCAGAGCTGGTGCAGGGGGGCCTAGCAAGTGGATGGAGGAGCAATGAAAGGGCCTTAGGCTTCCCTCCTAGCAGCCCTTGCTTCTGCCAGGGGCAGAGAAGGCAGATTTCAACAAAACAAACACAGAGTGCTTGTGTTCTTCAAGGGACAAAACCAACCCCAGAGGAGGACTGGTTGGGAACAGTAATGCTCCACTTATCAGGCTCTGCAGAGAGCAAGCTGTCCTGGATAAGGGAACTGTCCAGATAGATGGCCCTCACCCCTTGGAGGGCCCATCGTCTGGCTGGAAAGCTTTCTCCCTCCTGTCCCTCACACTCTGCCGCCCAGAGCAACCAGACCTACAAGCAGGGCTCCAGGGCACTGATGTCCTTGGGGCTCTCTGCAGGGGCAAGGAGAGGTGTTTGCCCCAGATGACACTTAATTTTTGCATGCTGTAGTTCTCAGGCTCACCCCCTGCCCCCTGTGTTTCAGATGCTTGTCTCACAGAGCTCTCCACATCTCGTTTTAAAATTTGTCAAGTCGGCTAATGGAACTTGCCTGAATTGTACGCAGAGCCAATACGTGTAGTATTTAGGCAGTAAGTGCTTACTACCTAAATGGGTTTAAGGGTGTGAGGCTGAGGTCTTTAACCCTCTCCTTGGGATCTGGCTGGAGATGTTGAGGAACCATGTGTTAAGTGAGGTGTTACCAGAGCCTCCCCAGTTAAGTCTCCTGCATGTGGTAACAAGTCAGAGGGGCCAAACCCTGGCCATGGCTAGCTCCTTTACGGCTCCTGAGCCCCTTGCTGCTTAGACCACTTTATGGGGTTGAGGCACGGTGAGCAGCCAGCACCGTCCACCTTGGCCCCAGGCTCATCCTCTTCACCCCCCAGCAGCACTTCTTGGCCAAGCCGAGGTTGCCCACTGGGTTCCTGCCTCTTGATCTGGTGCTTGAGATTTGTGGGAAGAAGCCAGTGTGGTTTTCCTTTCCTGTGGGCGGTGCGTGGGCTGTTTGTCCTCTCCCCTCGGGTCCATGCCCTGTGTGGGGGGGTGAAGCTGGCCCTTGGCCCAGGAAAGGCGGTGGGTCCCTGGAGAACAGGAGAACCCTGCGTGGGGAGAAGCTCTGGGGTCACCTCTTCCACCCAGCCGCTGCCTTGAGCATCATCCAGCAGTGGCTGGGTGCCCGTCATGGAAGAAGAGCCTCCTTACTGCTCTGCACCCTTAACAGGAGCCCACAGGCCCGGTCTCGGCAGCGAGCTTCCTGGCGGCCTCCTCAGCCCCGGCTCATGTCTGAGGCGAGGCCTCACACGTGCTTCTTCTGAATGCTCTTTCCTCACATTCTGGTTACAAGCCTGGGAGCTACCCTTGATCCTGCCACTGCCCCACATGCAGTCACTCACCAGGTCCTGTCCATAAAATCCTACCTCCTTATCGGTCCTCCTCTCTACTCACGCAGCACCTGCCCTAAGTCTCACCTGGATTCTGCTCCTGACTCCTCCCATCCACCGAAGCCAGATTCCAATTCCCACCATTATTCCCTGACTTGGCAGTCGAGCCCTGGACGTCAAGCAGACTAGGCTCAGCTCTCCGTTTGTCTCTGTTCCCTTGCCAGCCCATTCCCAACCCCTCTCCCTGCCAAGGGTCGGTGTGAGTGCCCGCGTGCTGGGGAGAAAGGGCAGGTCCCGGTCAGCCATGGCATCAGGCTGTTGGAAGCTGAGGGGCTATTAGAGCTCTTTCTCTAAGCATCCCCTCATTGAACCTAGGGCAGAGGCTCACTTGGTGACACTGTAGGGGCCAGCCTGGAGAAGCAGGATGGCCCTGGGCAGCTGCCATCCCTTGGACTGAATGGTTTCCAGTAAAGAGCTATTCCTCATCCCAGCAGTTCTCCTGGGGGTGAGGGTGGGGAGAGGCTTGTGTCATGTCTGTCATCCCCCCTCCCTTCCCTGCCTGGGTAACTGTGGCTGAAGGACCACACGTCTCTCTGTCTAGAGCAGAAGTTCTGACTTCCTCTGTGTCAGGGCAGCGTCTGTAGTGAGGCTCTGGGTGTGAGGCGGAGCCCACTGCCTGGCACATGGAGTAAGCTGTTCCTTGTGTCACTGTTATCTCAAGGAGAGAAGCCATCTCCTTGAGAGGAACATTAAGGACAGAGTTTTCCATTTTTTAATTACTGCAAGACAAAGCATTAACCTAGAATTATAGTACAAGAAAGAACCTGAAGGAACTAGAGGCTTGCCCTGGGGAGTAAAGCTCTATCTTCAGAACTTGCTGGCTGCCCAGGCCGAGGGACCCAGCAGGTCTGCAGAGCCCCAGGGCACAGACTTCAGCTCAGGGGAAAGAAGAGCTTTCTAGGCTTCAGAGGGTGAGATTACCCATGTTACAGTTAGTGAGTCCCCTGTCAGCAGGGAGCATACAAGTCAAAGTTTGGATCAGGGATTGATATAAACAATTTATGTAAAAGGCTAGATAGAAAATATTAGAGTCTGTTGATGACTGCTTATTTTTCTTCCCTTCCCTCCCTCCCCGCCACCCCAACCTTTTAAACACGTAAAACCCATTCTTGGCTCATAGGCCATACAAAAACAGGCTGCTAGCTGGATTTGGTCCCCCTGCCAACCCGTGTTCTAGAATTCCAGACCACTGCCAAGAGAAGGGGTATATGTTTTGGAATTTCTGGCTGCTCTCCACATATTCCCTGCAGAGGCCTGGTCTCCTAGATCAGCGGGCCCCAACCTTTTTGGCACCAGGGGCCGGTTTCATGGAAGAGGGTTTTTCCACGGACCGGGGGTGGCAGTGGGCGTGATTCAGGCAGTAACACGAGCGGTGGGGAGCGGCTGACCGGCCTGCCCGCCGCTCACCTCCTGCTGTGAGGCCCCCCGTACTGGTCCCTGGCCCGGGGGTTGGGGCCCCCTGTTCTAGATCATCCTGAGAGGGAATCAGCTCTCTCTCAACCCTTTCTTCTCTCTTAGATATACTGTGGGGATGAAGGGGTTAAACAGCCGCCCAAGCTTCGAGGTCCAGTCGGGAGGAAGAAAGGGCCAGCTTGTCCAGTTCAGCCCCTCAGCCTGGCTTTGACCCCTATTTCCAGTTCCCTACCTACCCCTCCCCCACAGCTGGGGCTGCCCCCGCCCCTCGCCCCAGGTGGTATGTCTCCATAGCAACTCAGCCACGCCCCAGGGTCAGCTGGGAGTTCGGAGACAGATGCTACAGGTGGGGCTGGACAGATAACTTCTGGGTTCCTCAGGGCCTCTCCCTGGGGCCTGGTGAAGAGGCCCAGGCAGGCAGATGGAGCTAGAAGCTGGGCCCCAACCCCAGAGCAGATGATCGGACCACCCTGGCTGCTTTTCTGGAAGAGCCCTGAGAAAGGCTTCTCTCCAAGCCTTTGCTCTGACCTCCTCACTGGTCCCTGGCCTTTGGGGTCTCCCCTGCAAACAGAAGGATCTTCATTTCCCCTGCTCACAGCTTTTCTTGTCTCCCCACCACCCTCAGGATGAAGTGTCTCTTCCCACCCCACATGGCAACGCCCCCATGCTGCCCGGGCACCCCACACCTCTGCACCTTCGCTTTGCTGCTGCTTCGCCTTCTGCCTGGTGAGCTGTTGGTCACTTTCTAGAGAACGCGCCATCCCTCCTCTGGAAAGCCTTCATAACCTCTTCATTACTGCAGTGGTTCCCAAACAGGGGCAATTTGCTCCCCCCCCCAACGTCTGGAGACATTTTTGGTTGTTACACTGGCAGGGGTAGAGGCCAGGGATGCTGCTAAACGCCCTACAGTGCATGGGACAGCCTCCGTGATGCCAAAGAACTATCTGGCCACAAATGTCTATGGTGTTGAGAAAAACCCTCCTCTATGGGCCAGGTACCCTCTCCCTCCCCCTTGTCCGCTTACACCAGCCTGTCCTTGTTTCCATCACCGCCCCGGACAGCTAACTATGAGGCACTGTGTGCTCCCTCTAGACTAAACTCCAACAGGGGGACAGTCTGGTTCATCTGGGTCCCAGCACAGGGCTGGAGGCAGAAAGCATTGTCACTAATTGATGAACAGGCCATGAACCGGAGAGGCTTAAGAGATGACGGAGCTGTGGCAGGGTGTCGTGGTGTAAGAGGCTGTGCAACTGTGCGTGGGAAACTGGGACGTCTGTGCGTGACTCAGCTTGAAGTAAGAGCAGGAGAGAGCAGCAGGGTAGCAGTTGTTGGCATGTAAAAGGGTGTTTCGGTGCCTGTAAGTGTAACTGCCATTTCTTCTGTGGTGGTCAAGGATGTAGAGTGGAGCCAGACTCCCTGGATTTAAATCCCAGCTCTGCCACTTACTAGCTGTGTGCCCTTGGTTTAATTGCTTAACATCTCTGTGCCCTAGTTTTTTATAATACAGGGATTATGGTGTCTCCCTAATGGGGTTATATTATATGGAACAATTGAATTATTGTTTCTAATGCATTTGGAACAATGCCTAGCACGTGACAAGTGAGCTGTAAGCTGTGAGAGTCCGTATAAGCGGAGATGGGCGAAGGGGAGAGGGGGCCCAGAGCCCTCTGGATCTAGGCAGAGATAAGGAGAGGCTGCCTGGAGCCTGGGCTGGGAAGCCCATCTTGCCTCCAGTACTTTCACTCACCAAGCAGGTCGTCCTGGGCAGACCTTGCCTGCTCTCTAGACCAAGTTCTTCCTTTGGCAAACAAGGAACGTTGAGCCTGCGGACTGTCAGGCCCCTTCCAGCCCAAGCGGTCTGGTTTCTGAGGATGCCTCAGACATGCCCGACACTGTCCCTTGGCCGGGCACTCATGGTTCCTCAATGGCCTTTAGTCACCTCTGTTGGCAGCTCAGCCGTTTGGGGAGGGGAGAGGTAGTTCTCTCCACTCAGCATGACGGTCAGGACGCCCCTGCTCATTTATCTGCTCTCTGTGTGACTGGGCTCCCCTCCCACCCTGCAGAGGCCGGAGGCCTGGCAGGGATGTCGTCATCAGGCGTGAGGCCTGGCGTCCATCTGTAACTCAGCCTCTCACTCTCCAGGTGACCCCTCCCAGCCTCGGTGCCTCCTTTATGAGGGGAAGATAAGCCCGGCCCCACCCACCTTGTGGGGCTGCTGTGAGGAGGCAACTTATTAGGAGGTGCTTTGTAAACATTTAAGATGATGTTATGATTAATTAACCACTTCCAAGAGGAAGCCCTTTGGGGCCTGTTTTATGGAGGAGACCAAGCTTCCGGTAATTAACAGCAGTACTGGCACCCTCACCTCTAGTGGGACAAAGTCTCCATTGGCAAGTAGGCCAACCTGGCCAGCGCAGTGCAGTTTCCTAAGGGAAGTGCCTCTAGACAGACAAGGGGGGTCGGCCTGGTCAGCGCGGGCCGTTAGCAATTCCCCATCAGTGGAACACTTCATGCCACCGCATCTCTGCACAAGCCGTTCCTATTGCCTGGGATACCCGCCCCTCCTTCCCTCTGGGGCCGATTTGCCCTCAAGGTCTAGCACAGCTGCTAACTCCTTCGTGAGGCCCCTTCTGTCTCTGCCATCAGCCCTACCCCCAGCATTAGTCATTCCTTTCTCTTCGTTCCCATAGCACCGAGAAGCCCTCCGTTAATAATACTGCGGCTCTTCCCAAGGGGTCTCTCCTCCCCACCCCGCCTCTGCACTCTGGATGGTTGAATGTCTGGACGGCAGGGACAGGGCCCAGCTCTGACCATGTGTCAGGCAGCTTCCTGAGGGCCAGGGTGAGCCTGCGGTGTTCTTGGCTCTATCCCTCCCCCCATCTAGGGCAGTGCCTGGCATAGTCCACGTTGAGTGACGGTGTTGGCACAATCACTGGGCCCTCCCAGGACAATGGCTATGGTGCCTCCCGAGGCATGGCTGTCGGCTCTGAGCCCCGCTTTCATCTCTTCCTCTAGTGTTGTCCTCTCCCCTCTTCACCTGTTAAGTTTATCCTGTTTGCTCCGGGTTGGGAAAACTATGGCCAGGCTTATGAGAAGTGTCTGTAAAGTACAAGAGTAAACAGGCGGAGGAGTGCCTGAGCACACTCCCCCGGAAACGCCACGCAGGTCTCTCACCTCAGTCCTCAGAGGCCGGCTGCCCAAGTGACCTTTGGACAGGTGCCCGCAAATGCTCCTATAAATGTTTACCGCTGGGCCGTCTGTGCTGCCCGGATCCCCTGCCCGCTGTCCCGCCCATCTTCCACTGTAATTCTCACCTTTCGCCTGTTTCTGATTAGATGGGAAGTCCCAAGAATTAGAGAACATCACTCTGGGTTTGTCCACAACTGCACCCTTGTCTTAGTCCCTTCCGGCCAAATGCGACCCCTTTGCCTCTGCTCCACCACCACCGGCCTCCTGAAGGACCACCCCCCCCTCCTTATCTTCACCCTCTCCTCCTCTGCTGATTCCTTACAAGCTGTTTAAAACTGAAGTCTTCGTATTAAAAAAAACCTTAGCCAGACAACCCCTCTGGCGACCACCCTTCTTTCTTCCTTCTCTACCGAGTCCCTTGGAAGGGCTGTCTCTGCTCTCCCCCATCTCCCTTCTCCCTGTTCAACCTACTGCAGGGAGGTCTCTACCCACAGGACTCCACTTGGACAGCCTTTGCCACAGCAGGGTCACCGGAGGGTCTTTTGCCTTTGGCAATATGGAGCTGATCTGCCCAGGTCAGCCTCCGGAGCACTGGATAGCATCCCTTCACTCCGTCCACATCTGAGTGCCTGTTCCTATGGACGGGCACTGCTCTAGGGACGAAGGACATGGCCATGGACGCTCATCCTCAGGCGCTTCCATTCTTCCTCTGGCTCAGAAGGGTCTGGTCTCCTGGCGTAGAGGTGCCAGCTCTCCTCCTCCTTCCCAGGATCTTCTGTCAGTGGGTGTGCTCTCCAGGGCTTGACCCTTACTTCTCTTTTTACTCTGCAGTCCCTCTGGGAGATCCTTCTCTATCACTATGGATACCGGTGACCAACCTATCGGTCTTCTCCCACTGACTACCCTCCAAAGAAACAGACCCCCGTGTCCAAGTGCTTGTCCCGCCGTGTCACTAAACCTCAGTTCCTGCATATCCCACGGCACCTCCCTACTCTGCCTCCAGACCCACATCGCCCGAACCAGAAATCTAGAAGCCAGTTTTAAACCCCACTCTCTCATCCTCAGGCTGAATTGATGATCAGCTCCTGCCCATTCTTCCTATTCAGTGTTGGTTTTTCTACCCCTAGTACAGCAGCAGCCTTCTCACTATTTCCCTGTCTCTAGTTTCACATTCTGAGACCCATCCCACTGCACCAGACGCCTGAATCATTTCCCTAAAATGCAAATCTGATCCTATCTGTCCTCTTTAGTGGAGTTCTGAAGTCCACACTCCCCAGCTCGGCCTACGCATTGGTGCCCACCTGCCCATTCTTGCTGTGCCACGCCCTGCCAGTGGCTGAAGATTCTGCAGATGAAACTACCGACCACAAGAGCCCCTTGTGGGCAGCTTCTGGCTTACCTCGTCGCCCTCCCATCCTTCTCCCTCCTCCCATTTACCCTAGTGACACACAGACTTTCTTTCCTCTGGGCATTTTATCCCCACCTGTGGGCCCCTGCTTACCACAACCCTGTTCTGTTTCCGGAAAACACCTCTATCCTGTTCTTAGAGTCCTAGTTCTGTCACCATGCGTAACTCACTATGTGATCACAGTCACATGACCACCCCTGTGATCACTTAATCCAGTGCTTCTCATCTTTTGCTGCACATTAGAATCAACTGGGGAGCTTTAAAACTTTGATGCCCAGACAGCATCCCAGACCAATGAGGTCAGATTCTGTAAGTGTCAGGGGACACTGTCTGTCCCCTGTCTCTAAGACTGTACACACTTTGCATCTGTAAGGATTCCCAAAGGAAGCCAGCTCCGAGGCACACACCTTGGCAAGATCTGCTCAGAGCACTTAGCAGAAGCAGGGCTTGGAACTGCTTCAAGCATGGGCCCACGGTCGCCATTTCCCACAAGCTTGGAAAAGCCCCATCACGTCCGCTGCAGCTGAGCATGACTCAGCAGGCCTGGCCGCTCTGGTGACCTGCTCCCCAGCATCGGGTGTGGCCCCCACGGCCACCCTCCGCCTATTTGGAGGAGGCCCAGCTCCCCCAAACAGGCCCCAATCCTCGGGAAGCAGCCACATTCACTTCCTGGCCTCACCCGTCTGGACCATGAATGTGGCCTTGACAGGACAATCCACTCTCATCTTGTCCTGCCCGGGAAGGTAGAGACTTTTAAACTGACCAGGTGGCTGGTCCGGAAGACAGCCTGAGGTTGTGTAAACAACAGAGTTTGGCTTCTGACTCCACCATCCCCTAGCTATGTGACCTTGAGCCCATTGGTCATTTGACCTGCCCTGGGCCTTGGTTTTCGGGTGTATAAAATGGAAATCACCGCCCGACCTTATGAATGTACACAACAGGCCTGGCGCAGAGGAGGGGCTCGTTACAGTCTCCTTTCCTGCCCCCATCCTCCGCTCTCCTCCCCAGAGCGGTGGGTTGGCTACGCTGGAGGCCCTCACCGGGGCACCCCCCAGTCCCGACACTGGTGAGCACGTGAGGACAGATCTGGGTTGTGCTGTGGGGAGAAGGGAATAAGCGCACACTTGCACCCCTCCAGTTCCCTAGGGCAAGACGCCATTTTTGCTTTGCCTGGCCCAGGGCCTCCAGGGAGATAGGCAGTTTCAGCCTAGAATGGGCTCCCTTACAAGGGAGTGTGCTGCATGTGGATGGGTGAGAGCACGGGCTTGGGGACCACCTGGCAGGGAGGGCGCCAAGGCAGACTGGTGTCGTATACCAGCTCCATCCCTGACTAGCTGGTCATGCTGGGCAGGTTCTGGCCATTCCCCACACCTGCAGGGTAGGAGTGGGCACCGCTGCCTGCCTGCCTTAGGGCTCGGTGTGATCAGGTGAGAAAAGCACCACGGAAGCCCTCTGTAGCCCCAGAGGGCCACACGAATGCAGCATCACTACACCGAACACGGCTTCAATTTTTACAAATTTCTGTGTCGGGTGGGAGGTTGGTCAAGATGACCTATAAAGGGCTTCCCTGGTGGTGCAGTGGTTGAGAGTCCACCTTCCAATGCAGGGGACATGGGTTTGTGCCCCGGTCCGGGAAGATCCCACATGCCGTGGAGCGGCTGGGCCCGTGAGCCATGGCCGCTGAGCCTGCACGTCCAGAGCCTGTGCTCCGCAACGGGAGAGGCCACAACAGTGAGAGGCCCGCGTACCACAAAAAAAAAAAAAGAAAAAAAGGTAACCTATAAAGACCCCGTGGTTCTGTGGGCCCCAAGGTTCCAAGGCCAAAGCTAAGAGTCTCTAACCCATTCAGGGCCAGAATATTGGCTGGTAAGGCAGATGGTGAGTTGATGTAAATGACTCCAATGTCCAAGAGGCAGGGTGAGCACGTGTGTGTGTGTGTGTGTGTGTGTGTGTGATGGGGGCAGGGGTGCACAGCAGAGCCCTCTGGTCTCGAGAAGCCTAGGACAGCACAGCACTCACCTTCTGGGGGGCATTGATGACTCCAGTGTTGTAGCCAAACTGCAGGGAGCCGAGCACTGCCCCTCCCACGGCCAGCATGAGGCGGCCCGTCAGCTTCTGCAGAGAGAAAAGCCCACACTGTTGGAGGCACGCCAGGCCCAGGTGACTAGAGGGCAGGGCCTGGGCTGGCAGGTTCCCTTGTTCAGATAGCTTGCCTGACTCCTGGCACCACACCAGCCCTTCTCTGAAGAAACCTGGCCACTTCCTGACCTCAGGTGCCCAAACCAGCCCTGCCAACTTCTAGACACCGGGCTGGCCAGACTCATTCCTGGGGAGAGAGGGTAATTAGGGTCTTCCCCCTCTCTGTAGCCAGGGCTTGGCCTTCTCCGGGGTCTCATTCCCCTGTTGAAGCCATGCCTGGGCTTGAGATGGCTCCAGACTCCCTGGCTGGGAGGCCCAGGAACCAAGGCAAGGGGGGCCCAGTTACGTGGGAGGAGCGGCATGGATGGGCGAAGTGCCCTGGATTTGGAGCCCAAGATGCCGGCTTCTAATTCCAGCCCACCTGCCTCCTTGCTCTGCGAATTCCAGCAGGTGAGTCCCCTTCCCCACTCCTCACGGCCCGTCTGGTTGCTTGTCTGCAAACCCTCGCCTCCATTCACAGGGTAGATACTGAGGCAGAGACAAGTTCCAGCTTACTCAGGGGTCTGCAGAGAGCCAGGCTGAAGCTCGGGGCAACCATCCCCAGACCACGAGCTTCCCAGGGTTGTTAGGACACAGATGACATACCAGCCAGGAATGTGCTTTGGAAAAGTACACGACACAAGGTGAGTAAGAGTGCTGGGTCGAGGTGTTTCCAATGGGCAGAGGGCTGGGGGAGAAAAAGCGCAGTGGGTTCTGTCACCTGGAAGCCAAGGGCCGGAGGCAGCAGGCAGGGAGGAGGCCAGCAGGCAGGAGGGCCCGGGGAGAGCAAGGTGCCTTGCTAGGGAGAGGACTTTTGTTTTCTTTTAAAATGAAGACGCCAAGATGTATGACAGTTAAGGCAGGCCCTTAACTGACCGAAAGAACGGGGCCCGGGGGGAGGGATGCCAAAGAAATGATGGGCGGGCATTCACCAGGTGCACCACACGGGGCTGGGCACTGGAGGGGAGGGGTGGAGGCACAGATCCTGAGCCGCACCTACCTGTGGAGGGGAGAGCCTCAGCTTGGCGATGGCCTTGGTCTCCCCCCCTCCCCCCAGAACCCAGAAGCAGCCCTGACTTCGAGATCCTCACAGATAGCGCTGGGCTTAGCTGTTAATCAGACACATTCCTAGTATGGTCTTTTCATTCTCTAGAAGCCGTCAGGCCATCGATTGCGAAAGCTAAGGTTCTCACGTCAGAGGCTGAGAGTAAGGTTTCAGCCAGCAGGAGTTCAGAGCCCATTCCTTGTCAAGGGAGAGCTGGATCCTTCCTTCCCACGGGCTCCTTCCTGGCCAGACTCTGGACATTCATCCTAGACGCTGGGCCTTTCCTCCCAGCGGGCTGCACTCCCTGTAAATCCTGTCTGTCACGGCCCACCCTGCCCAGCACCCCTCAGAGCCTCCCTCCCAACTCCTTAGGGAGCCTTCAGACCCAAGGCTGTTGGTTCCGAGTGGGTGGTGAGCACCTGACAGGCCTCCTCTGGTGGGCCCCGGCCAAGCCCAACTCCTCGGGTGACCACTGGGATTAAGTAAGAGGAGGTCACAAGGACGGCACGACAGCGGCTGTTGAACCCCCAGGTGGGGGCTTTCTGCCTGGTGAGTCACAGGTGTCACGGCTCAGGGTTGGCCTTGAGGTTGGCCATCGTCTGATACTAATGGTATACAAGGTATATATTATTCTAGTACACACTCGAATAAATAGAAAACTAGCAACGCAAACCTAGGATTTGAAAAAATGTGGCATAGCTATATAATGGAGTACTTAACAAAGAAAGCTCTTTAGGTACTGATTTGGCATACTCCCCAAGTTATATTAAGTAAAAAGCAAAGCTTCAGAACAGCGTGTTGTATGCTACCTTTTGTGTGGGAGGGAAAAAAAAAAAAGGCTAGGATGGGGGAGAATATACACATCTACTTCCTTAAAAGAATGCACAAGAAAGGTAACAGTGTACCTTGGGGATCTGGGTGGCAGAGGCAGGGTAGAAGGGAGAATTTTCATTTTATATCCCTTTGTACGTTTTTGAATTTTGAACCACATGAATGTATCACCTATTCAAAATATTTTTTACAAGCCCTGTGGTTTCATATTATTTAGAACACAGCAATTTAAATAAAAATAGAAGTGAAAAATGATACAGATGATATGCGGCTCTGGTAAAAATCGTGCCCTTGCATGAATGCCCTCGCAGAAGGGGCTCTGCTGGGGGGCAGTACTGTTAGTACAGCCCTGTCTCCAGTCTGGCTCTGGTGTGCCAGGGGTCTCTGGGCCTCTGAAGTCAGTCTTGGGGCCCTGCTGAGCAGCTGTGCCTCTGAGAGTGGGGGCTGCTGGGAGCCAAGGACAAAGCCCTCTGCTGGACTTTGCCACTTGGCAGGTCAAGGTCAAACTCTGCTTTAGAAAACCTGCCTACCCACCGGCTGGGTTACATCCACATCCACCCAGGCAGGCTGCTGTGTCAAGAACTACTAAAAGGCTCAGTGACTCGCGCCCCGGGCCCTGGTCCTGACATCAAGGAAGAGGCATCAGGTCCACTGGGAAGGGGAGGCTAGTGTGGTCTGAGCTTCAGCTGGGGCACTGCGGGAGCCCTGCAGGGATAGACTTGTAATTTTGCCTGGGACAGTCAATCAAAGGTGGGTTCCTGGGAGGTGACACTGGAGTTGGGCCGTGAAGGACATGCAGGGAGTCTGCCAAGTGGAGAAGCGGTGGCAAGACTGCATTCCAGGTAGACAGAACAGTACGTGCAGGGGGAAGAAGGGGGGGCCCTGCAAGGCCGGATCTAACGGGGTGCTCACTGTGGCTGGATGCTAGATCCAGGGGAGGAGCATGGCCCCCGCTCCTGGGTAGGCAAGCGGCACCCACCACCTCTCGCCCCCACCGCACCCAGCGTGCTCACGACAGGACTTGGAATCTGGAGACCCAGGCTGAAAGGCATTGAGCTGCTTCCCTCACCTTGGAGTTGAGATATGTGGTAGCCCTGACTCTGGGTCTCAGTTTCTTCACATAAGAAATGGGGATAAGAGTGCCTTCCCTTAAGGCTTGCTGTCAAGCTCTGCATCATGGAGCCGGCAGGGTTCACTCGACAGGTGTTCGCTGAATCAAGGAGGGATGGGAAGTCCCCATGGTACCATCTGCCTCCACCAGTCCCGTGGCTGGAACTGAAAAGCGGTAATGAAGTCCATTCATTCAACATGTATATATTTACGTGCCAAGCTGATGGACTCGCTGGTGATGCCTTAAAGAAGGGGTACAAGCCCCACAGCTCACAGCTTTCTTGTGGAAGCCTTTTATAGGGGTGGAGGAGCAAGGGAGAGTCTAGAATCTGGGACCATGGCCGCCCATCACCACCCCTGGGGATGGGGCTACCTCCTAAAACATCCCGTGCTGTTCCAGGCCTTTGCCCTTGCTGTGTGCTCTACAGTCTCCAGCTTCTGCTCCAAGCAGTTGGGAATACCCATCTGCTGTCCACCCACCACACTGGGAACTCCTTAAGAATGGTACCTAGGGTGCCCAGAGTAGGGCACAGCGCTGAATATTTATACAAAGCAAACCTGTCACTTCTGAAATTAACTTTTTGGGCAAAACTGGCTCTGCATGTATCTGTTCTCTGAGAACAGTGTTCATCCTAACAGATTTGAACTCGGCCATGTAGCAAACCCCTGATGAGTACTGGAACATCAGCTCTGAGAGCTGGAAACAGCCTAAAAGTAACTCTCCAGGCCCCCACCCCAACCCACAGGGCTGTGGAGGAAAGACCTCTGACCCGAGTTCAAATTCTGATTCTCCTAGGGGTGTCCCAGGCCTCTCAGTTCAGCAAGCGCTTGGGCTCGGGGTCCTGCACGAGGAGGCTCTCATGCCCTCACCCCTCACCACCCCATCCCAATTCTGGGGGTCCTGAGGCCCACTTAGAGCTCTCCTTCTCCCAGGAAGCCACTGATGAAATGTTGGCTTCAGAACCTCTCCTCCCACACACGGGGATGCCGGGTGGCCTAGCCAGGTCATGTAACTTGCCAAGCACCATGCGTGGCCTTTCGACTTGCATCCGTGGGCCGGGCCTTTCCCTGGCATGTACTCCAGCTCCGGGCTTTCCCAGTCAGTACTGGCGGAGGGAGGGCATGTGGCCACGCCATTCAGAGGTAGGTTACTCCCAATGGGAGGAGGGTCCGGGAGGAGGGTCCTGGAGCCGGGATGAGCCAGATGTCACTCACATCCTTTCCTCCTCCCACAGCTCCTGAGTAGCCCTGGGTGCACTGGAGCATGGGACAAGGACCTTGTAACTGCGTGGTCCCCAGTTCTAAGCAGGGTGGAGCAGGGGTTTATGGGATCCGTGACAGCTCCCTTTTTATTTATTTATTTATTTATTTATTTATTTATTTTTTACTTTAATTTTCTAAGATTTCATTTGAACAAAATTCTGGGAGATGAAAAAAGAAGCGCAAGAAACTGCAGAATTGCTGTAATAC